TATGAAATGCTCAGCTGGTATATGAAGAGCAGTGACGGTTTGGGGTATCAGGATCACAATCCATATTCAGTTCCAAGATGTCTGGACCATTTCACAGTTGAAATGTGATCCTCCTTTAAGAAAGAACATGGGCTGTTATTTTCATACTTCTGATCACAGTTGGCAAAGGAATGGCTGGAGTAATAGACCAGTAGTTGGGTTCTTAGATTTGTTTCTTTTTCTTTTTTTTTTTTTTTTTTTGAGACGGAGTTTCGCTCTTGTTACCCAGGCTGGAGTGCAATGGCGCGATCTCGGCTCACCGCAACCTCCGCCTCCTGGGTTCAGGCATTTCTCCTGCCTCAGCCTCCTGAGTAGCTGGGATTACAGGCACGAGCCACCATGCCCAGCTAATTTTTTGTATTTTTAGTAGAGACGGGGTTTCACCATGTTGACCAGGATGGTCTCGATCTCTCGACCTCGTGATCCACCCGCCTCGGCCTCCCAAAGTGCTGGGATTACAGGCTTGAGCCACCGCGCCCGGCTAGATTTGTTTCTTTAATCAAATTCTCATGGCTGGTGGCAAGATAGAAGATGCTTGTACAGGACATTTATCTCAAACTTGTGTTACAGATAATGTGCATTAGAATCATCTGGGGTACTTCATGAAAGTACAGATTTCTGAATCCCTTCTAGAACTGCTGAATTAGGATTCCTGGGCTGGAGCCTGAGAATTTGCACTTAAGTCTACTTAGTTTACTTCTTAGTAATTCTTATGTACACTAAAATTTAAAAAGCACGAGTAAACTAGTTAATTATGAATTATTCTTATCAATGAAAAATTATACCAAATGAGAATTAAATGAGACAACCGGACGTCTCATGGCTTTGAAGAAGCTGGTAACAACTTTATCTAAGACTTCTCAGTTGCTCTTTCAGTATTACTTCTAAATTTACTATTTCAGTTTATTTTTCATTAAACCTTCCTTTTGCTGGTACAAAGAAAAACATCTTTGTTTTCCCTTTTAATTTAATTAAATTAATTTATTTATGTATTTTGAGATGGAGTCTTGCTGTGTCCCCCAGGTTAGAGTGCAGTGGCACGATCTCGGCTCACTGCAACTTCAGCCTCCTGGGTTCAAGTGAGTCTCCTGCCTCAGCCTCCTGAGTAGCTGGGACTACGGGCTAATTTTTGTATTTTTGTATTTTTAGTAGAGATGGGGTTTCACCATATTTGCCAGGCTGGTCTCAAACTTCTGACCTTGTGATCCACCCGCCTTGGCTTCCCAAAATCCTGGGATTATAGGCCTGAGCCACTGCACCCAGCCAATTTTATTTTTTAATTAAAAATTTCTGAGAGATTATTAGCTTTAACAAAGATGTCTCCAAAGCATGTTCGAAGGGTAGTCCTTAGCTTGATGATTTGAAGAATGTAATCATTTATTGGTGGCGTTCAATAAATATGTATTAGCATTTATATGTACAAGGTATAAATATGTACAAGGTCCTTATGACAGAGTAAGAGGCATACAACACCATCATTCCCTGGAAGAGCATACACACCAAATACATAGATAAGACTAACACACACATTTGAACTGTGGTATTGAAACCTTTTTTTAAAAAAAGCCTAAAGCCCTCTCAGTAAAAAATAGTTGAGTACTTACCTACACGTACACATTTATTTATACATTATCCCATGTACTAGCATATGCTTTGACTATGTACACCAAAACTCACACTGTAACAAACAGAAAGTTTAAAAGTTGCCAAAATAAATAGAAACTTAACCTTTCCTCCTTGTATCCTCAAGGATCATTTGCACATTCCCTGTAGTGTGCACATTCCATTTTGTAAACCAGTGTTTTCAGAAAACAATGCCTTCCTGTACATAACCAAGCACTAAGTTTTATGCTACAGATAAAAAAGAAACATTTTAGAGTAAGGAGAAACAAGAGAAAACCCAGATTACTAGAACTGGTAAATGAAATGAATAGCATTCAGAAAACAATGTATATTTAATAAATAGATAAAATAATAGGAAATATTTGCTTTGGGTTCATGTCAAACCCTATTAAGAAGGAGACATAAGCATAAAACAAAATGCATATGTAGAGGAAAAATAAACACAGTACAGATATTTAAACATTACTTTCTACTGGCAAAATGTCTTCTAGCCTTTGTCTATATCTTTGGTGAGGTATTTGGAGGCATTTATAGGCTACAGTTTGCCAATGATTTTATTTATGGATCAAGACCTAGGAGGTGGATCTAATTATTACCATAATTTCAAAGTAGTGCTGCATATATTGTAAGATATCTGTAACATGGATATCTGTGATCCTAGTGATGACAGAGATGCAAGCACTAATACTGCTGTTGTTTGTTGCCTATTTTCCTAATGGAAAGAAATAACTTCTTTTTCCCATAGAAGTTTTCAGATTTCCTGACTGCTAGCCTCAGGCCCCTTTAGATTCACAGATCCCCATTGAAGAACTCCCAGTCTATAGTAATGCAAGTTTTCCTAAGTTGCACATAGGTGGAATCAGAGAAAGGGAAGCAAACAGAAGAGCCTCACTGACTGACAGACTGGCTGGCTGGCTGGCTGCTCAGGCAGGGCCTCATGGATGGCTACATCCTGTGGATCCGGAGCCTGCTCCTCATTTCCAAATGTTCAGAAACTCAGTTTGTCTCGGTTCTTCCAGGAGCACCCTGGCTGTTGAGAGACAGATTCATAAAAATCAAAGTCACAAGTGACTTACTGATTTTTTTTTTTTTTTTTTTTGAGACGGAGTTTCGCTAGTTACCCAGGCTGGAGTGCAATGGCACGATCTCGGCTCACCGCAACCTCCGCCTCCTGGGTTCAGGCAATTCTCCTGCCTCAGCCTCTTGAGTAGCTGGGATTACAGGCAGGCGCCACCATGCCCAGCTAGTTTTTTGTATTTTTAGTAGAGACGGGGTTTCCCCATGTTGACCAGGATGGTCTCGATCTCTTGACCTCGTGATCCACCCACCTTGGCCTCCCAAAGTGCTGGGATCACAGGCTTGAGCCACCGCGCCCGGCCAGGACTTACTGATTTTAAGGCCCACTTCAGATTCTTGATTTTTCTCCTTTCAGATCCCAAACAATGTCAAATGACATTATTCTTATCCTTTGAAGATACGATCTTATGGCAGCCTAACATTTTAGCATCTTTTCTGTGGCTCACTGCAATGACAGCATCTTGTAGGCACACGTCTAAAAAGGTCATCACCTTCCATTTCTGTGAAGTCAAAAATCTCCTTAAGTGCTTCTGCACTTTTTGAGAAAACTGAAAAGTAACCAAAAGCTTTTCATTATTTTATTATGAAAGTCTCAACGTTGCATTTAAGCAACTCACATCCCTTTGTAGCAGTGTTGTATATAAGATGTATGAGGCACTGAATGGATAAAATCTTTTCATTTTCTTTGTAAGAAGTTTGTAGACTGAATGTAATTTGCCAAAATTTACATATGTAAATCTATTATGAAGATAGGCTAATTCTAATTTGTATTTAGACAAAATATCAACAATAGTTTATGATTTCAGCAGTTTCATTAAAATCCTCATAGAAATGAAGAAGATGACTTGAAACTGCTGTTTTCAAGTCAAGTACCTAACAGAGGGAACATATTTTTGCTGCCATAATTCAGCATATTACTTAAAACTGATGTACTATAGAAAGCAGAATTGTTGGTGAGGTATGACAGACTGGCCTTACACTGTAAGAGGCCAACACATCTGTTATCAAAATTTCCCCTCTTGTTTGCCCAGAGGGTATTTTAGCTGCAATTCCTGAAGCAAGAAATGAAAGCTTACTGTTTCATAGAGTAATCAAGGGAATGCTGTGACAGGCATGCTTGTCTGCCTGGTATGCCCAAGCTAATTCAGCAGCTGTTTTTGACTGAGCATTGATATTTTTTGGAGAAACCAAAGTATTTTTGATTGTTTAGAAGCATTCACTTGTCCCATCTTACTGGTGAGATTTGGTCTCCAGACGTGCTTTCACATCCCTTCTCCATCATGTCCAATCTCAAGTTTTTTTTCTGCATATTATGCAGTATGCTCTGTTTTGGTTATTTACCTTCCTAATAATTTGTGTCCTTCCATCCATCATTAAAAGTACATAGTTGTTTAGCCTTCTTCAGTGATGGGGTCATGGTTGCATTGGTATTATAATCATTCTCATTATCTGACCTCTTAGAAAACATGGTCAAAATATTCATAATGTTAAAAAATTAAACTGGCACTACCTTGTTACAAAGCACACCAATTAATCCGCAGGCAAAGTCAAAGATGAACTGTTAATATTCATTATATACACTTAAGCCACATCACTTTGAACGATGCAACAATGGATTGATGACCATTCTGAGCTACAAATTATGTGTGTCAAATGGGTTGACAGCAGTAAAGATGATGGACAATCTGCCATAACCCTTTGATACTAAAGACCGTGTTGCTTTCAGCCCCTCTAAAACTTACAGGTTTTGTACATTTCCTGCAACCTTCCACACTTGTTGCCAAAACCAGGATAATTCACATTCCAGGGAAGGGTTTCCTAGGACACAATGCTCTCAGTGCTAAAATTGGGATGGCTGCTTACCCTATTGGGTCACCATTAACCCAAACTCTACCTCTCCAGAGGTAGGAGGGGAGGCACATGGAGCTAGAGACTCCTCACCCTGCTTCCACTAATGGTGTTAAACTTCTCCAGAATATTTCTCACAGGTTCCTCTTCTTTAAGGGGTGATGAAAACAAGACGTTGTCTTTTGTTAGACTTTGGATTTACTGAAAGCTCAATGGCTTCCATCTGGAAACACAGGCAAAGTTCAGGGCCAGTGCCTTCCCCTGGCTCAGGTCCTAAAGGAAACTCAGAAAAGAAAGCCATCCAAAGGCAAGGAGGAGAAAGCAGCTCCACTGACAACTCCACCAGCCAAGGAAGAAAGAAAAAAGCATCTACGGGTGGCTGGTCAGGAGCATAAACCACATCCTAGGGAGAAACTCACCTCCCAAACTCACCAAAGTATTTCCTTACCTTCTCCTCAGTGGCTTCGGGGGTTCAGATGCCCTGTAAACTTTTCTGCACAGGATATTTCTTCATGACAGTGGCTTTTTGGGGGTCCATGCTATGGCCACCCACCTGTGCTCCTTCTGATTTAGGATCTGTTCCAACAGAATGGTAGGTGAATCAATCATCCAGATTTGCCAGGGACTAAGGGGTTTGGGGACTTTCAGGGCTAAAACCAGAAGTGAGGAGTTTCCTAGGAAGCAGGACTGTCAGAACTATAACCACAACTAAGGGATTTCCCAGAATAAGAGACTTTTAGTATTAAAATGGGATGGTGCAATTTCCCACAATGCAAGACTTTCAGTGCTAAAACATGGACAATTTCTTCTGAGAAGGGGTTAGGTAGACTCATTGGCACTTCTTAGCAGCATTACTCGAGGTTGGTTCCTTCTTTCTGAGCCACAAGATTTTATTACAGGTGGAATACACAAAATATACAGGTACCCAAAATATTTCACCCCCTGCAAACACACTACCCTCTACCCAAGCCAGACTTCCCAATTTCCTCCAAAACAGAAATCCACCTGGTTTACCTAAACACACAGAAATCAGTCCTCACTCCCTCGGAGCCCTTAGCCATGCTTTGAGTTGTCTTCCTGGCCTGACAGGCCCAATCTAAGACTTGCTTCCTCCAGACATAAAGCTGGGCTGCTGGGGTTGGAATCCTTGATGTTCCATGCTCTACTATTTGGTCTCTTTTACTTACTTAATCCTCTCTGCATCGTAATTTTTTCCTCTGTAAAATGGCACCGAAATGCCTATTTCAGGCATCTTTGGGTGTGTTTTTCTAATTCTTACATGCGAAGCATTTAGTGCCGGGGCCGAAACAGGCACAGAAACAGCTAATAAACGTCCACTCTCCTCTTTCTGGACCACTCCAGCCCATAGATTTAATACTTTTCACTCCCCACTTAATCAGGAACATGTTCCTAAACTCTGCTTCCCCCAGCGCAATTGGTCAGGAGCGCACATGCAGCTCCGACATGATCCAGGAATGCCTTCTCTTAGAAATCCAATCCCGCAGGCACAGACCTTTGATGGAATACATAGCTCACCTTCTCTGTAGGAGCTGCACCTCTTGGTCTTCCAGTGTTGGGATTCATTTTGGGGGGATGGCCAACGACCTCTTCAAATGTGGTAAAATAGTCTTTTGGGTCCTTTTTGCTGGTATCCCAGCTCTGGTTCATTAGTGAGAGGAATGGTAGAGTGAGACACATGGCCACGAGACGTCTTACGAAGAAGCCATGGGCTTCTAAAGTCTCACAAGAAGGCCAAGCGTTTAGGAGGACTGGATTTCCCAAAGCTTTCACTGGAAGGATTACATATAAAGCCACCACCCACGGCAAAGTGTCTACACCCACCCACCCTGAGTCTGCAAAGATTCTACCTTCCACAGCTGTTCACAAATTTACTCCACCCCCCCTACTGAGATCCACTTTGGCCCTAACAGAACTTGCCACCACCACAGACCCCCAGGCTGGGAGAGGAAACGGAAAGGCGACCTCTCGGGGCGCAGGTCCCACGCAGCCTTCACAGCTGTTAGTCTACATACCTTCTTTTTAACGGGCTGCCGTCTCTTCCAGCCCTGTCTTCCCCCGGCGCCCAGGAGTCGCTCTCAAGGAACTCGGTCTCCCTGGGCAGCGCCCGCGGTCAGAGCATGACTCCGAGCCCAGGTGGAGGTTAGAAGAGATGAGGGAGCGAGGGGAAGCCTCGCCCGGGTCGGAGCGCACACCCTCCTCCGGAGCCCCGCTCCCGCGGCTGGGCGGCTCCTGGACGACGTCGATCCCACAGGTCCCGCCACCTCCACAGCACCTCCCCCGGGGCCCCCTAGCTCTTGCGGCCGTTCCTCTGGTCCGCCCTGGCGCCGTTCTAGCCCCAGCCTGGCGACCCGCCGTCGGTGGCGCCTGTCGTCCCCAAGGGCTTCTTCCTCTCCCTTGTTTCCAACACACGCCGCAGACCCACAACCGCCCCGGCGTGAGACAGCGCGGCTCTGCGGGAGCAGTGGGCGGGCTTTATAAGGTCCGAGTTGGGGGACGGACCCACCTTGCCCAAGTTACATGCTCATTGGCTAATTTTGCCTGACACTCAGCCATGCACCGCTGTCTCATTGGCCGCGCTCTAAATCCCGGCGGGCTGGTCCTCTAGCGGCGTCTCAGAGCCAGTGCCCTGCGGAGGGTCCCAGAGATCCCGCCCGAGGACTGCAGGTGCGGGCCGGAGGCCCCGAGGCTCCCCTGCGCCCTCCGCCCGCGGAGCCCGCAGCCTCTCGCCCCCGCGCGCCCGTGGCCAAAGTGAAAAATAGCCAAGACAAAACAAGTTCACATCCCCAAAGCGAAACAACCGAAAGGAAATTCAAGGAAAGCAAATATAAAGGAGAAAAATATATATATGAATGTCCACGAAGGCAAGACAAAAAACTAAGCAAAGGAGTAGGCTCAAAGAAAAGATAGAACATGAATATAATTTAGAATATTTATGCAGGTTCCTACTGAAATCTCGACAAGTAAAAATTTTAGTATCAAACTTTCATCATTCTTGCCTTTCCTATGAAAGGGCAGCAGGGGGCACCAGATGCTAGGGTTTCGTTCAGCTAGGACAGGCGTTTTAACAAGTTTGTTACAATCACCAAATAGTGTTCTCTTAGAGTTCACAGATAGTTATAAAAGTTAACAGGAAATGGGGAAAACAGAGTGATGGTCTACAATCAGGGATGTTCAAGAGACAGAATACAGTCATGGGTTCTTAGTTTCTGTTTCCGGCTGGGCCAATAAAGCCCCTTCCTCATCCCTCTTTTTAGTTTGTCATTAGAGACACATACTAAAAGCCTTAACTCAGGCTGCTAAAAGCCTGAAACAAAACAAAACAGAACAACGAAATAAGTTGGGTTGGACAAGCTTAGGACATAGAAGAATGTGCGAAAAAGGTATATGATTCCTGTACTCCCTGTTGGCTAAGGAGTACAGTGTCCTGAAATATTGGCAGGGTGGCAATTACAAAACGTAAGGGGACATTTTTTAGAGGGGGGGCTCAGAAAAAGATACAGCACAGTGGAGAGTGACCACCAGGGCACCAGGCTGACTCTATGACCTTAGCCTCCCATCTCGACCCATTTTGAACTTCTACCAAGGACATGGGACTTCCCATGCTAAAACCAGAACTGAGGCTTTCCCAGACAGGGGACTTTCCCATAAGCAGTAATGGTTACAATGGCAACAACCAACAACAAATATTTAATGAGTGCCTACTGTGTGCCAGAAACCGTTCTAAGCATTTTACAAGTATCAACTCTCTTAATATTCACAACAATGCTTGAGGTAGATACTCTGTTCTCCCTATTTTACAGAGAAGGAAGCTGAGGCAACTCACCAAAGGTCATGCAAACAGCTAAGAACTGTCAGATGCAGGTTTTTTGTTTGTTTTTGTTTTGAGATGAAGCCTCACTCTGCCACCCAGGCTGCAGTGCAGTGGTGTGATCTCGGCTCACTGCAACCTTTGCCTCCCAGGTTCAAGTGATTCTTGTGCCCCAGCCCCCTGAGTAGCTGGGATTACAGGTGTGCACCACCATGCCTGGCTAATTTTTGTATTTTTAGTAGAGAAGGGGTTTTACCAGGTTGGCCAGGCTGGTCTTGAACTCCTGACCTCAAATGATCTGCCTGCCTCGGCATCTCAAAGAGCTGGGATTACAGGTGTAAGCCACAGTGCCCCGCCTAGATCCAGGTTTAAGAAAAGTGTATGTGTGCAGACTCTGCTGTCATTCTGTCCAGGTTTAAGTCATAGCTCCATCACATTAATAATATCCACATTGTTAATACAGGAAAACACATAACTAGCACATAGGAGATATGTGCTATATATAACAGCAGATATAATAATAATGTCAAAATAGTATTTGCCATTATTATTAAAAGACTTGTTCCTGCTCTACAAAAGCTTAAAATTTAGTGGAAGAGGTTCATATATGTCATAAAGCAGTAGGGGTGCTTATTGGAGGGGTGAATGGGATCGATAATAAATGCATATAAGCATTCAGAGGAGGAAGAATTGTGAACTAGAGCAGTCAGGTTGGGCCACAGGTATTCAATGTGGCACCCACTTAAAATTCTGCCTGAGCCTCCTGCATGTCACCATTAGAAGGCAACTTCTGTTTCTCAACGGTTTAAGCTAATTATTACAGTCTTAGTATTTGATTATCACCTGCATGTGTATGTTTAACTAAAATATAATCTTTTTTGTTTTCTTTTAAGAGACAGGGTCTCACTCTGTTGCCCAGGCTGGAATGCAGTGGCAAGATTACAACTCACTGTGGCCTCAAATTCCTGGGCTCAAGTGATCCTCTCACCTTAGCCTCCCAAGTAGCTGTAACTGCCACACCCAACTGAGATGATCAGTTTTTATTTGTCACTAATATTCTGTTAAGAAATGGTGTAATATCTACTTTTTTAACTGGAGGAAGCATTTATTATTTTTGGGGGAGGAGTTAACATTGATTAATTCAACAAATATCTACGAGATGTCAAGCCCTGGAATAGGACTCAGAAATCAACAGGGCGCCAAGTCAGAGACTAACTCTAGAGTAAGGGGAGTGGGAAGAGCTGTTATTTTAATTGAAACCTGAAGTCTGAGAGGGAGCCAGCAGGCAAGAAGCCAGGGTAGCCACAATGCGGGCAGCGGGAATGGTCTGAGCAAAGGCCCTCAGTGGGAAAAGGGCTCTGTGCCTCATAAGGACCAAATGAGGCTACTTACGGCTGAAGATTTGTGAATTAGAAGCAGAGTGAATTGGTTCACCAACATGCTATGTTCACAAAGGGCTGAATACGGTTTCTGCCTCTGAGTCTTCTATTTAAATCAAATGAGCTGTGCAGTCTCCAGATGTTGCTGAATGAAAACTTTACATGATGGGGTGAGAGGTAATCTTTGTGTGCAGCTTGCCCTTAACTGAATTTAATGCTACATGTCTGTATACATCGAAGGCCAGAAGAGCCTCTGTCTTGAACAAACATGACTACTGACTCTTCTATTTGGCTTTAACAGTAAAAGAATTGTGTTCTTCTCTATGGCAAATGGATTTATCTGCATTTACAGGTATATATGGAAAAGACAACTTCATCTTTTCTAAAAGAAATTTTTTTGGAAATAAAACCCAAAGACAAATAGTAAAGATAACTCAATCTTTCCTATTCTGTTTGTCTCCATGGAACTGCTACTGTACTTGTGATTCTTGAAGGGTAAAAATCAAACAAAATTGGCTTGGTGAGAAAGACTTGATGTGCAGGGTTAATCTATGCGTCTCCTTCAGGTCTCTGTGAGCAAACAACCCTTAATGCAATGAAAATGGCATCCTTCAGGGAAAACAGATTATCTTATCTGATAAGGTTGCCTCTTCTCATTACATTAATGTTACTCTGATATCACATTTTAAACAATGTTTTTAATTTAAAAGAAAAAGTCCCAAGAGAAGGCTTAGACGGAAAAATAGAGCCTGATAATACTTGAAAATATGCAGCCCAGGAACCTTCTAAAATCCTCTCAGTAATGCAATGGGATGTGCTCACCGTTAAGGTCAAATTGGGTACAAGTTTAATGAGAGGAACGATTCAGTCCCTTTCTCTTTCTTTTTATCGTTTGTTCTAAAAGGGCTGCTTGTTATAACAAGTTTAAATGGGATCTCTAAGAAATTTCTTAGAAAGGGCTGGGTGCGATGGTTCATGCCTGTAATCCCAGCACTTTGGAAGGCTGAGGCGGGCAAATGGCTTGAGCCCCGGAGTTTGAGATCAGCCTGGGCAGCATGGTGAAACCCTGTCTCTATCAAAAATGCCAAACACTTGCTGGGTGTGGTGGCATGTGCCTGTAGTCCCAGGTCCTTGAGAGGCTGAGGTGGGAGGATCACCTGAGCCCTGGAGGATGAGACTGCAGTGAGCCAGGATTGCACTCCACTGCACTCCAGCCTGGGTGACAGAGAGAGAGACCCTGTGTTTAAAAATAAAAAAAGAAAGAAAAAGAAAAAAATTTTCTTGGAAAGAAGGGGAGTGACTATTAAAGGGATCTGAAATGCCACCCAGCCGTGGATAAAGTGTTACTTTTAAAACAGAACAACACACCTGTAATACCTTACACAGGCTGTGGGACACCTAGGAGTGTCTTTCTAGCTCACCTCTCGGGCTAGACTGAATAAAGACTACAGCAGCCTTCTTACCCATGGGGAGTACGTTCCAAGCCCCTCAGTGGATGCCTGAAACTGAATAGTACTGAACTTAATTACAGTCTACTAGGATTTTTTGATCTGATAACCAAGGGGGCTACTAAGTGACTAAACAAAGGGTGGTGTAGACAGCATGGATATGCTGGAGGAAGGGATGATTTTCATCTCAAGTGGGCTGGAGTTGGATGGTATGAGATTTTATCATGCTACTCAGAATGATGCACAATTTCAAACATTAATTATTTCTGGAATTTTTCCACTTAATGTTTTTGGACAGCCCAATGGCTAACACCCCAAGAAAGTGAAACTGTAAATCTACTGTGTTGGGATGAAGATGGAGGGGAAGGAATTGCATTATTCATCAAATGGCTTTTTAAAACATTTTTGGTGCCAGGCACGGTGGCTCATGCCTGTCATCCCAGCACTTTGGGAGGCCAAGGCTGGAGGATCATTTGAGGTCAGGAGTTTGAGACCAGCCAGGCCAACATGGTGAAACCCCATCTCTACTAAAAATTGTTTTAAAAAATTAAGTGGGTGTGGTGGCACGTGCCTGTAATTCCAGCTACTGGAGAGGCTGAGGCAGGGGAATCTCTTGAGCCTGGGAGATGGAGGTTGCAGTGAGCAGAGATTGCACCAATGCACTCCAGCCTGGGCAACAGAGCTAGACTCCATCTCAATAAATAAATAAATACATAAATACATAAAATATTTTTGGGAAATTATTCCAGTAGCAAGATAGTTAGTAATGTTGGCCTTTAGGCTTAAGTTTTCAATTAGTGAAGCCAGATGAATAAGAAATGTCCAAGCCCTCTCCCTCATACTGACTGAGGCTGTGGCCAAAATGTAATAGGATGTGTCTAAGCTGTTCCTTTTTATGAAGACGTTTCTATAAAAAGAACGATAGGAAAACTTTTATTTCTTTCTCTTCCTAAACATCTCAGAGGCTTCTGAGATGCCTAATTCAGTGGTTCCCAAATTTGCTGCCCATTGGATCACCTGGAAATCTTTTTAAAATACCGATATCTGGTTCCTTCCCCCGACATTGTAATTTAATTGGTATGAACTGCAACCTATGGGAAGTGGTATTTTGTTTTGTCTTGTTTTGAGATGGAGTTTCCCTCTTGTCGCCCAGGCTGGAGTGCAATGGCACGATTGCAGCTCACTGCAACCTCCTTCTTCTGGTTTCAAGTGATTCTCCTGCCTCAGCCTCCTGAAAAGCTGGAATTACAGTTACCTGCCACACATCTGACTAATTTTTGTATTTTTAATAAAGACAGGGTTTCACCATGTTGGCCAGGCTGGTCTCAAACTCCTGACGTCAGGTGATCCACCTGCCTCGGCCTCCCAAAGTGCTGGGATGGCAGACGTGAGCCACTGCACCTGGCAGAGGAGTGCTTTTAAAATTAATTGTTTTATATTGGTGTAGTTGTAGATTCACATGCAATTGTAAGAAAAAATACAGAGAGTTTCCCTCAATGATGTTTCCCCCAATAGTAACATCTTCCAAAATTATAATGCAGTATCACAAACAGGACACTGACATTGATACAGTCAAGATACAGAACATTTCCATTGCCACAAAGATCCCTTCCTCCTGCGGACCTTTTACAACCACCGCACTTCCCCACCCACTGCAACCTTCTCTTTAACCTCTGGTAAGCACTCATCCGTTATCCAGTTCTATAATTTTGTCATTTCAAGATTGTTATATAAATATGATCACACCATAGGCAACCTTTAGGGATTAGCTTTGTTCACTCGGCATAATTTTCTGGAAATTCATCCAGGTCGTTGCATGTATCAGTGGTTCATTCCTTTCTATTGCTAAGCAGTATTCCACAGTATGGCTATGCCACAGTTTCTTTAACCATCTGAATTGTTTCCAGGTTTGGGCTATTAAGAATAAACCTGCTATAAACATTTGTGTACAGATATTTTTTGTGAAGACTCATAATATTTCTCTAAGATAAATGCCTCTGAGTGGAATTATACAACACGTTTTTTTTTAAGACACTGCCAAACTATTTTCCAGAGTAGCTGTACCATTTTACATTTCTATCAGCAATGAATGAGTGATCTAGCTTCTCCACATCTTCGCCAGCATTTGGTGGTGTCACTATTTTATATCTGAGCCCTTCTGCTAGGTGAGTAGTGATACTGTATCATGGTTTTCTCCTTTTTTGTTGTTTCTGCTTTTGTTTTTGATTTTTGTGGGGGTTTTTTGCCAGTGGGACAGGACATTTAATTGTCTTTAGGGTCCTCTTGGGAGACGGATTGCAGGGGCCTTTGGAAAAGCTCTGGCTGATGGAACCAACAGAGGTGCCCATCAACCAGTGCCAGGCAGGATGGCAGCCCCAGTGATTGGCTGGGGACAGCCAGCATTTGGGGCTATTGCTTAAGACAATTTCTGAGACTAGTGGGTAAGGAATACTGCCTTTGAATGGAGAAGAGGAGACTACATTTAGAAAGGGGGAGAAGTGGTTTGCATTGTGGGAAGGGACTCTAAGGTCAGGTTAGGAATGACAGGGAGTTTTGGTCACAAGGTCCTTCATGGCCAGGTGAGGGCTGGAGGAAGAGTGTGGTGATGGACACCAGCAGGGGAACTGTGGGCCAGCTTGACTCAGGCCAGTTTCAGGAACTCCTGCATTGTGTTTTGTTCCACAGCCTCCGTGAAGAGCTCAAAGTCCCCACAGTACCTGTCCCCATTGACAATCTGGTGTGGGGCAGCCTTGGGGTTGCCCACCAAGACTTGCATCTCATCCCTCAGGGCGTTGTCCTGGGAGATGTCCACTGGCTCGTACTGGATGCGCTTTTCATCCAGGAATCAGGTCACCTCACTCTGCTGGAACTTGATTTTGTGGGAGCCAGTGACCGATGTGCTGTAGAGGTTCAGGCTGCTTATGCTGCAGGTAGACTGACTGGCCGGAGGACAGAAGGCGGCGGTAATGGCAGCTGAACTACTGGGAGACTTCATGTGGTTTTAACTTGCATTTCTCTAATGGTTAATGATGGGATTTTCATGGACTTATTTGCCACTATTCAGTGAAATATCTCTTTATGTCTGTTTTAGACGATTCTTGCATTGCTTTAAAGAAACACCTGAGACTGGGTAATTTATATATATATATGTGTGTGTGTGTGTGTGTGTGTGTGTGTGTGTGTATACACACATATATAAATATATATATATAATTTATATATATATATACACATATATATATATATATATTTTAAAGAGGTTTAATTGGCTCACGGTTCTACAGGCTATACAGGAAGCATAGCTCTGACATTAGCTTCTAGGGAGGCCTCAGGAAGCTTACAATCATGGTGGAAGGCAAAGCAGGAGCAGCTGCTTCACATAACAAAAGCAGGAGCAAGGTGGGAGAGGTGCCACACACATTTTAAATGACCACATCTTGTGGGAACTCAGGCAGCACCAAGCCATGAGGGATTGCCCCCACGATCCAAACACCTCCCAAAGGACCCCACCTCCAGCATTGAGAATGACATTTCCACATGGGATTTGGGTGGGAAAAAATATCCAAACTATATTAATGTCTTTTGTCCATTTTCTAACTGAATTTTTTCTCGTGCTGTTTAGTTTTGGGACTTCTTTATGTTTTCTAAACACTAGTTCTTTGGCATATGTGGTTTGCAAATGTTTTCTTCCAGTCTGTATTTTCATGCTCTCAGCAGTCTTTTGCAAAGTAAAAGTTTCAAATTTTGACATGTCAAATTGATCAATTTTTCCTTTTGAAATTTGTGTTTAATTATCTGGCATTATGAATTGAATAGCCTCTGCATCAGAGAGTCCCTCACTACAAAACGCTTTAATGTTAAAACTTCCCAGCCACATAAGGATATTAATTTTTGTTTTCTTCTTTCATTGTACTGACATTTTAAAGACGTTTGTGGTTTTAGAGATTCTCTGTGGACAGACAGAGACTTAAAGATTCCAAAGATTTGAACTGCAGAACTGCTATGGCTCATCATCAGACTTTGTTCTTCACATTACACACAAGATCTTCTCAAAGAAGGAGCTCTCTGCTAGTGGGCACATGGAGTTGATGGACATAAGGATAATTTCTGAACTCACACAAAGGCCACACAAATTCATCAAAGAAACATTCATTGTGTAAAGAAAAAAAAATGTCACCATAATGGGAAGAGGTCAGAAAAAGGCTGATGTCTCAAATACAATTACTACTCATTCATTTAAATGGAGTCACTACTAATTCATTTGAAAAATAAAATAGGGAGAACTTAGGCACAGTCCACAGGGTTAGTTATTATGGGCAGTGCAATGCACTTTTTAGAATGTAGAGAAAGAACTTTTGTATGGTCAAAGCAATGAGTTTCATGGTACTGGGGGTTTTCAACCAGACCCTGAACCACCACTCAGCAGGGATGGTGTAGAGGTGACTTAGGTACTAGGAAGTAAGGCAGAGTAAGTGAGCTTTGAGAGCCTATCCATCCTGAGTGTCTCTGGGGTTGTGATCCTTCTCCAAAGTAAGATACAGAACTATCCTGGAGAGGAAGAACATAGGCAGGACAGATCCCAAGAAGCCAGAGCAAAAGCACCAGGAAGGAGTCTGCTGACTGGAGGAGGGCCTCCTTAGAATAAGTTGAATTTATGGAGCTGGAAAAAGCTCTGGAGGAAGGCTGTTCTTGCACTTGATAAAGAGATGCAGAAATTGTTAGTCAAATAAGCTGGACTGTAATGCATTAAAAAACAAAGTATGAAATCTCAGTGGCTTAACACAAGGATGGTTTATTGCACACTTTTGCAAACTGCTTCATAGATGTTCCTGGTCAGGCACTTTCTTCCAAGTGATGACTCAGTGATCCAGGTTCTTTCCATTTTGTCTCAAGTCCTTCAACACAAGGCCTCTCAGGTCAATATGAAAGGGAAACAGACTTCCAGAAAGCCACCCTGGATACATCCAAACCCAGAGCATAGCATGTATCACTTTCCCTCACATCCATAGGCAGCATTGATCACACAGCCAACCTAATGGCAAGGGAAGCTGGAAAACAGAGAAGACCAAAGAGAACTGCTGGTACATACCAACAGTTTCTGCCACAAGAAATGCCACAGGGGTGCCATGATTTTGTCTTGACCATCATGTTAACGTTGACAAAACTAAGAACGTATTTCCAATAGGATTTTTCTTTCTTTCTTTTTCTTTCCTTTCTTTCTTTCTTTCTTTCTTTCTTTCTTTCTTTCTTTCTTTCTTTCTTTCTTCTTTCCTTTCTCTCTCTTTCTTTCTTTCCTTCTTGCTTTCTTGCTTTTGAGACAGAGTCTTACTCTGTTGCCCAGGCTGGAGTGCAGTGGCACAACCTCAGTTCACTGCAGCCTCCATACCCCAGGTTCCAGTGATTTTCCTGCCTCAGCCTCCTGGGTAGCTGGGATTACAGGCATACACCACCACACCTGGCCAATTTTTGTATTTTTAGTAGAGATGGGGGTTTCACCATATTGGCCAGCCTGGTCTTGAACTCCTGACCTCAGGTGATCTGCCCACCTCAGCCTCCCAAACTGCTGGGATTACAGGCATGAACCAATGCACCTGGCCCAGTAGGATTTCTAATAGGGTTAAATGTGGTATAAGATGGTATTTGAAGCTTTCCACGACCTGGTCCTGGGAAATCTACCATCTTTTCTGCCACTCTCTGCCGGTTAGCTAGTACCCCAATAAAATAGAACCGTTTATACTTCCTGTCCCTACTTCTCGTCCCTACTTCTCCTGGTATCTTTGCTCAGGCTATCCCTTTTTTAGGTGTGAATACCTTCTTCTACTTTACCTAACTTCTTCTACTTGTTCTTTCAGAAACAACTAAATCATCTGTTCTTCTTGAAACCTGATCTCAATCTCCTGATCCCTACTCCCCAGAATAGGTTAGGTATGCCCCTGTGCTTCCACATTATCCTATCCATGTTTTGTTCTGTTTGCTATGGAGTCTTGCTCTGTTGCCAGACTGGAGTGCAGTGGCCCAACCTCGGCTCACTGCAACTTCTGCCTCCCTGGTCCCAGTGATTCTCCTACCTGAGTCTTCCGAGTAGCTAGGACTACAGGTGCATGCCACCATGCCCAACTAATTTTTGTACTTTTAATAGAGACAGGGTTTCACCAAGTTGGCCAGGATGGTCTTGATCTCTTGACCTCATGATCTGCCCACCTCAGCCTCCCAAAGTGCTGGGATTACAGGCATGAGCCACTGCACCTGGCCTGTTTTTGTTTTAAATCATCATAGGATATTAAACATTATGTCGTTACTCATTTATGATTCTATCTCTCTCACTAGATTATGTGGTCCCTGCAAGCAAAGGGCATCATTTTTTAAATTAATATATGGTAGGGCCGGGCGCGGTGGCTCAAGCCTGTAATCCCAGCACTCTGGGAGGCCGAGGCGGGTGGATCACGAGGTCAAGAGATCGAGACCATCCTGGTCAACATGGTGAAACCCCGTCTCTACTAAAAATACAAAAAATTAGCTGGGCATGGTGGCGCGTGCCTGTAATCCCAGCTACTCAGGAGGCTGAGGCAGGAGAATTGCCCGAACCCAGGAGGCGGAGGTTGCGGTGAGCCGAGATCGCGCCATTGCACTCCAGCCTGGGCAACAAGAGTGAAACACTCCGTCTCAAAAAAAAAAAATTAATATATGGTAAAACCGACTATTTTGGTGTACAGTTTGTGAATTTTAACACATGTAAATTGATATTTTCTTGGTTCTTTGTATGCTGAATAACTTTGGATCATGTCCCGGACATTTTGAATATTATCTTATAAGACATATGAGTTATTTAAATCAGATGGAATGTTGACATTTTTGCTTTAGCCATCACTCAAACCAGCTGATTTCAAGCTCCAAGTTCTGACCAGCCTTCTGGGGGTTGCAGCTTTAATGTCAGCTGTTGCAAAGCTTTGCAGAGCATTGCAGATCCAGCTGATGAACGTGCCACCTAGTGGCCAATCTGGCACATGGGTAATGGTCTCTCCCACAGTTGAGTTCTCAAAGTCTAAAGATGGACTTTTTATGGTCAGACCTGTGCATGCACCGTTTGGGAATAAGCCCAAGTTCGTTCTTTCTCTCTCTCTTTTTTTCTTTCTTTTTTTCTTCCTTTCTTTCTCTGTTTCTCTTTCTTGCTTTCCTTTCTCTTTCTCCCTTTCTCTTTTTCTTTCTTGCCTGTTTTCTTTCTTTTCTTTTTCTTTCCTTCTTTCTTTCTTCTTTCTTTCTCTCTTTCTCTCTCTTTCTTTCTTGCCTGTATACTTTCCTTTCCTTCTTTCTTTTCTCCTTTCTTCCTTTCTTGCCTTTTTTTTTTTTTTTTTTTTTGAGACAGGGTCTTGCTGTCTCACCCAGGCTGGAGTACAATGTCATGATCATAGCTCACTGCAACCCATAACTCCTGAGCTCAAGCAGTCCTTCCACCTCAGATTCTCAAGTAGCTGGGACTACAGAAATATGCCACTGTGCCCAGATAATTTTAATTTTTTGTAGGCACAGAGTCTCACTGTGTTGCCTAGGCTAGTATCGAGCTCCTAGACTCAAGGGATCCTCCCTGCTCGGCCTTCTGAAATGCTGGGATTACAGATGTGAGCCACTGTACCCACTCTCAAGTTTTTATAACAACTTGATTGGGTCGCTTTCCCAGCTCTCTCTTCTCTGAGCACATTCAAGTTCCCTAAAGTGTCCCTTTTTGAACCTAATCTGCTCTGCATTTCCTATAACTGAGCCCGTGTCTGGGGTTGTTGTGGTCACTCAACCAAAATGAAATGGGCCCCTCCCCAAAACAAATTTAGTTTGGATATTAAAATCAATGATGCCACGCATGCAACAAGAGGGTAAGAAGAGGTTTATCACTCATGTGATGAAGCTTTCTGGGGAAAGCAGAAAGAGTGCCCAAGTTGATATGAAAATGGTTTGGGAGAGCCAGCAAAGGAGATGGGCTCGTTTTACAATGGCTAGGGGGCA